AGGGCTCCATGCCCACGTGTCTTCTCTTTCACGACAGATAGGAACCTTCGCCTGCACCTGCATAGGCCAACTGCTCCATTAATATAATCAGTTAAAAAAAAAAAAAAAAAAAGTGATGGGAACTGGTTGGCAAGTGATAAAAAAAAAGTGATGGGAACTATGTCAAGAAGTTAGGTTCACATTTATCACTCTTGACGTGAAAATTTTGTATTGTAGATTTACGTGAAACTAGTTAAGTTAAAATTTAAATATTATGTAAAAAAAATACATCAAAAATAATAATTTTGTCACAGTCAAAATACATAAATGTCTCTCAATACTCCCTTTTCTACTTACGAGCTGCTCGGCTCATTTGCAGCCCTTGTCTCAAGGCTTTAAGACTCAGCTTTACAATTAAACTAAGGCTCCCCTTGGCAGAGTTTAACTCATAGGTTGATCAAAAAGATGGAAAGTAAAAATGAGAAAATGGGAAATGGTGGGGCCTAAGTACTTGAAGATTCAATATTTTAGTCGATATTTTGAAATATATATATATACATATATATATATATATATATATATGCAAGAAGATGAAAATCATGTTACGTTTACAAAACCAAGTTGGATTTTAAAAGTTACATATAATAATAAAGAAAAGTAGACTTGGAGAACCAGGTTTCTGAGAGATTACCCCAGATTGAAATAAAAAAATGGAAATGGTGGCAAAGATCTACCTAAGTGTTTGCGTCACTATGCCTGAGAATTGGAAATGGAATCCAAAAAAGAATTAATAAACAACTAATATGGAAAAGAAAAGTAGCGGATAGGTAATATACCAAAAAATTAGGTGTAATAGTACTATTGTTGTTCAGTTGGCGCCAAATTAATGCCGTTTGGGATTGAACCAAAGAATGTGCTGAGAAAAGTTTATCCACCCCCTACCTGCTACTTCTTTTCTTCTTCTTGTGTGGGTTCTTCTTTCTCCCTATAAATTTCTCTCTCCACTTCACTCATGGGTGTCCGCAAAAACCTCAACTTTCTTCCAGAAAAACCTCTGTAAGCTTCAACTACTTTACTACAAAGTCTTGTTCTAGAGGCTTCTAGTGGGTTTCTTTTTTTCTTCATTGTTTAAGTTGGATTTGTTGAATTTTGGTTTTCTCTGGTGCTGCTACAGTGCATGTTAATGATTCAATTCTAGTGTGATGTGGGGTCTGTGGTTTGATTTTTTTTGGGGTTAGTTTTGATTGATTCTTGTTTTTCTTAAATCCTGGCATTTGCCCTGCGAATTTAAGTGTACTGGCTTTGGCTACAGAAACATCTGCAACAGTTTCTGTTTTCTTCAGAGAAAAGAAAAATATGCAACAAATCATTTGTCACAATTTTGCTGACTTGTTGCAGTCAGCTGGATCAGAGTATACAATGTAGGGCAGCTTAATTAGCCTGCATCAATATATTGATGCTTTTTGTAGAATATGTTCTTAAGTTTACTTTTGGTCTTTCTACGTTGGACTGAGTTTGGAGCATTTTTGTCATATCTTTAACTTCAGGAAATTGTTTTCTTAAGCTTCCCTGCAGTTCATGGATGTCAAAGGAGCAACATGTTCAACTGGCTATGGCCAGCCACCACCATGGATGTTCAAAGGAAGGCAAGTTTCTGACCTTGATTTATTTTGCATTTAGTTATTTGGTGTAATATGTTTATCCATTAGTTCAAGTGATATTGGGTTTTTAAGCAGTGCCTTGTACCAACTACATCTTGTAAAAGCTGAAATTGCTCGAGTATTCATACCTAAGGAGTTCAAATTAGTTGAAGCTTTTGGGTATGTATATTTACTTTAAGGTTGTGGGGTTGAATCTGAAAGTTTGATTTCTGTTTTTCACTAAGATGTCTAAGAATGCTTGATGCAGATACACCCTTGGTGGTTTTTTCCTTGCTAAATATGATGACAGTCCAGCTGGGGCCTTTGATGAGGCTTGTGTACTCTTATTTTGATTTTATGATTTGGAAAGCTGTTGAATCAGTGTCAAATTATCTGTCTGTTTTGCCAGCTTGTGGTGTTAGCAGGACTTATTAAAGATGCTGGTCCTCCCACATCATCTTGCGCGTACGTTTTCCCATTCCCCTCCTTTTTGTTGATATTATGTGCAATCTTCCATTCAAGTAAAATTACATGCCTAAAGCCTCCACAAGTAAGGCCACTACTCGGAAGTTTTGAGTTTTCGTGTATGACTTCAGTGAAGGCTTGGCTTGAGGTAGCAAAAATGATCAAGGTTATACAAAATTAGCTGGATATTCCTTGAATTCAACTTTGAGAGCCCTTGTTTGTTCCTCAACCTAACAACTAGCATGATGATTTGATTAAAAAAAAAAAATTTGCAACTTGCATTTTATTACTGTTTATTAAAGCATACCACTGCTCGTATTACTATTTGTTAAACTATACTGCCAACGGAATCATGCTTTTAATATAAAGTCGCGTTTCCTATGTATTAAGCATCTAACCCAAGTTGTTACTAAAAAAATGTTGATCTCACTAGTGGCCCTGGTCAAGTTGCAGTTGTCTTGACATGCAAGATTCATCATGCATCAAGAACTGTAATTTAAGCCCATCTAAAGCAATTAATTTCCCCATTTGGTGATCCTAGATGCTCTTTTGATACATTTGAGCTACTTAGCTTTCAATAGCATCAACTTTCCATAGAGATGAACCACCAGAAGCAACTGATCTTCCCAAACCAAGCCTAAATGTTGTTGCTTCAATAACATATAGTATCTATGCAGAAGTAAATATTGTTTTACAAAATGTTGTGATGTATTGTGAAACTATTGATCTTATTCTTATTTGTTTCTTTCCTTCTTTTGAATTGTCCTTCAACTAGTTGTCATTGTATTTATCAACAGATGGGCTGCCAGGGTTTTTGTGAACAGTGAAGAAGCTTGTGATCATGGAAGAAAGGTCAGAATTTTGCAGAACTTCAAGTACAAATATGGATATTTGAAAGTTTCACATGTTAAATTTTTGAATAACATGGGAAACTATGCAAACGAAGTCTAGTTAGTTTATTCCAATATGAATCCATGTAATAATATCCCTTGCCAGCTTCCTAGTAGCACTTTAGCCACCCTTGGCCAGTTGGCTCCCAAGGTTCTCATGATTGGACAATGGGATGTTGCATATGAGGGTCGCGCTATATTGTCACTGAACCTAAGGAATTAGAAATGATATGCTCTTCCTATCCTTCTACAACTATACTTTTAGAACTGGTGAACTTAACAGATTTTCTGCTACAGCATGTAGGGCTTCCAAGTCAGGTGGCTAGATTTTCTGAGGTACTATTGCCTGACTTTAATGACTTCCACATGGTGTCTTTCAAGGAAATCAAAATTTTTAGCTTCTTCACTACATTTAAGTTCAGGTGTTCATATTTATGTTTCTTCATTGGCTCATGCTATGTATTTTGCACTCTAATTTCCTCAAAGCAAAACATTGGCACTGCAAGTTCATCAGCAGTACAAATTTTTTTACCACAAAGGAACATTTTCGTCTTTGTATGCATGTTCTGTTTGGAACAGAAAATTACAGCAGCTCCAAAGCAGCCAAAGGGGTTCAGCAGCTTTCTAAACATGATGGGTATCGGTACAACTCTCCAACATACAAAGCAGTGTATGGATGTTCAGGTGACAGAAGTTGTGGGTGCAGCTGCAGCAGATTTCTGTAACATCAAACTTGCAACTGGGGGTAAGTTTATAAACTGATTCAGGTAGTCGTTGCCACTAATTTTGTCAATTTGATGGGTGATTTTCATAAAGTTCTCCATGTTCTTTCATTAACAAACCATTTCTAATATTTAAGCCTAAAATTTTCACCGTTCCTAGTAGTTTGCTTTAACAGCCATCATCAGCCTGTTAAACAATGGGAGAGGGAGAAAGTTTGAGTTAACATACAAATAAGATACAACCTTTCAAAAAATTCCTAATAAAGGATATAGCCATTTTTCTCGAGAAACTTTCTCCTCTCCTTTATCTGACATGCATACTTAAAGATTATGCATTATGGTGACAAGTTTTTTGGTTGCAGTCCCTGAAGTGAAACACGGCAAATGGATGGGACCAGCAATCACTTTGTCACTCCCAAGTTTTAGGTGAGTTTTCAGATGATTTGTTTATTTTTCTTGACTCTCCCTTCTCATGGAAATAGCTAGTTATTTCTACGTTCTGAATCTGCAGTGGCCACACAGAGTATAATCCGCTCCTATTGAAGTATTCTTGCGAGATTGAATGCAGGTATGATTAACATTGTATTTAGCAAAATTACAGTAGGAAAAATTTTTTCACCAAAAAAAAAAAAAAAAAAAAAAGTAGTAAAAATGTTCATTTGAAACCTCTGCTTGTAGAAGTGAGACAGCATGCTTAGTAGCTTAAAGATGTAGACTTAAGGACAACTTCTGCACTCACCTTAGTATCATATGATAGAATAGGATTACTGAAGCTACATTCTGAAAAATTTTTGGTATAGAGTGAGACCAGTGGAACCGGCAAAAGTTCTAGGTCCATTTCCAGCTCCAGAAAAAAGTGGTAAACAATCAAGGAGACATATTGGAAGTGGAACTACAGATTCTACAGCTGAGGAGCTTGATGATAATGAGAGAAATCTTAGCATATCAGTATGCTATCAAAGCCTATACTAGCTCTGGAGTTTAATTGCATGAAAATGAGAGTTGAAGCCCCAATTGTAGTTTCCCATTGCTTTGAAAACTCATCTGGAGCATCTTGAGCATCCTACTTCTTTTGTTGTATTTTCTAATATTCAATCAATAAAAAGTTCATTTAAATTGCTCGAGTGGCCCAGATGTAATGTGTGTTTGTTTCTGCTGATTTTATCAGCCTATAACTTTTTATTCTTAAACAATGGGTTAGGTGTTTGAAAACATTTGTTTATTGGCTAATTTCAAATTTTCAAATTCTTAAGTAATATACATTCTGTCTCAAAATAATATATATTTTTTCATTTAAAATCCATTCCAAAATAATAGTTATTTTTTTATATTTTAAGAAAGACAAATATTTTTTCCCTACTTTAATTTTACACTTATGATTGTCTCTTAATTTTAATTATTTATCCTATCATTAAAAAGTCTCTTTAAAAAAAAAAATTTCTTAGGAGTAATATAGGTAAAAATAAAAATTATTCCCAAATATTTAATCCTAAAAATAAAATTAAGATGCGTCTATTATTCTAAAATGGATGGAGTAAAGCTATTAATTAACCATTACAACTATCACAAACCATTCAGAGTCATAAGCTTAAAAGTTATAGAACAAGTGGGTACAAGTGAGCAATGGAATAAGAAATGGAATAAGAAATGGTTGTCTACCATTGTATAATCTAGGATTAAAAAAAAAAAAAAAAAAAGAGGTAAAAAGTACCAAATTGTATGTGAAGAAACTGTGAAAATGCTGAGGTTTCAGAAAAGAACACAAACCTTTTTCCTTTGCTGGACATCTTTACAAAATTTCTCTTACATGCAGTAACAGAGCAAAGAACAAAAGAACAACAAATGCAATTTTCATACAAAGATTTAACAACAGTCTTCAACAATGGAACTCTACTTACAATTCTCAATCTATAATCCCACTGGACAACTGATTAGAGAAGATCAAAATGTTTCTGGAAGAGGCTGGCCCCCCAAAAATGCTTTGAACAGAATGAGTGATCTTTCAGGCTGTGAGAATGGAGCTTCATGTGATGCTCCTCTAATGGTGGCAAAGGATAAGATGTTACCGTAAACTTGAGTCCAGCCACCAACCTGAAGGAAAACAACAGAAATTGAATTACTTACCTTGTTACAAAAACACCAAATCAAGCTTAAGTTTAAATACCAGTTAGATTTACCTGCTGCCCTGCAAACCAGACTCTATATGGGACAATGGTTTTCATTCCCAATTCCTTTGCCAGTTGGTCCACTAATGTTCGACTTCCAGTCAATGGAATGACAGAGTCTTGATCTCCACTGTATTCAAAAGCCAAATTCAAGTTATTACAATAATGAATGAAACAAAAATCATATGCAGTACATTTTCCCTAAAAACTAGAAAGAAACTTTTAAGTGAGACACGTTTACCTGTAGACCAAGACTGGAATTCCTGCCTTAACTAGTCTGCCAACTATAGTGATGGTAGAAATCTCCACATCAAGCAGCTCATAATCAAGGGTACTGTTAATTGAGATTGAAAAAGTCAGGCTTTATGAGCATTGATCATCATCTTTCCGTAGCCAACTGAATACACATTAAAAGTTCAAAGATATATGACACAAGAACAACACAATGATAAAATTTATGAAGAAGAAAATTACTTGCTGCAAACATCCCATTGACGAACTCCTAGAAGACGGGCGTGGAGGGCCATTTGAACATCTTTTCTGTTTAGATAATTAACTGTTTCATCTTCTACACAGACGTCAATTGTTTCACCAACATGCTGTGGGACAAAGAAAATGAACATCAACAACCAAAGTGAATGACAAATTCCAGGTTATGGAAATTAAAGAAATGATGGATTTCTTGCCTGGGGAGCAAGGACTTTGGATTGTGAGAGCACAGATGATATACAAACATCAAGGGTAACATCATACTTGTCCACAAATCTACTTGTTTCTTTATTGACTTGGCTCATCACCCTTAAACAAATAGGAGAAACAGTTCCTCTGTAATACTCACTAACATATCGAGAATAATTACAAGCTCCAGTGAACATCTTGTATGCAGAATCTGATATTAGTCCATGAGACCAAAAGTACTCAGCCCTTGAATTGAAATCAGTAGCAAATTCTAAAACAGGATTTCCCAGCTGCAACAAAACAGAAGGTTTCAGATTCATTTCATAGCTATTAATTCAAAGACTTAAATTGTTTTATGTCATTACTTACAGCAATTCCTTTCAAATTGAACAACTTCTCTTTCTTATTGAACTCAAGCATAAGTTCAGCTAACTGGGGCACATAATGTCCTAGTTTTAAACCAAAAAACAAACACCATTAACAATCATCTATGTCAATACTCATCTGTACGTTAAATATGTGAAGTAATAATTTTTCAATACCAGCATAGCTTTCTCCTGTAATGAACAGACTTCTATTTCTGTAGTGTGGGAACTTGATGAACCAGTTTTGCAAGAACACCAGATTGTCCCTTGCTGTAATAACGGAAACAAAAACAAGGCAAAAGTTTCAAACATGAGAGTGGCCTGTAAAGGTTAACTTTTTTCATCTGAGGAGGAAAACAACAAAATAAAGAGAGTAAGCATTGATCATGGCATAACTGTAAAGTGAAAAACAACATATTCCATATTCCATCACAAGATCATGAAATATTCTTGTATCAGTAGTGAAAAAAATTAAAATAAAAAATTCAAAAAGAAAGGAGAGAATAAATGAAAAAAGGAAAGAAAGGAAAAGGAGCGAAATTGAATATTCAGTATGAAAATTCTGTTTCTTCTGGAATGCAAAATTGCTGGGTAGATTAAGAATATGGAGATGTTTACCAGTGGTCATGTCATTGACAGACTCATTAGAAGAGGAATCAGTGGAATAAGAAAATCCAACTCCAATTGGTGTTTCTAAATACAGCATATTTGCTTCTGCAAAAAATAATGGAGATGCTAAAGATCAGGACTTCAGGTCAATCTGAATGTACCCAGAAATGTAGAGAACAGAAATCACAGAAAATACCTTTGTTCCAGCTATATTCATTCTTGACAAGAAATGGTCCACTAGGTTTAAATGGCCCATTCTCAGAAAATGCCCCAACTCCCAATGAAGAACACCCAGGTCCTGTAATTCCAAACAAAATGATCAGTCCCCACAGAAAACTCTCTCTGAATTTTCATAGAAATGGGTTGGTATTAAGGTAAAAAAATGGAGACCTCCATTGAGCCAGAGAACGAGAGGCTTGGAGGCAGGATCAACTTCAGCTTCAGCAAAGTAGTAGAAGAGAGCTTTCTGCTTTTTCTCATCAACAGTCACATAACCTGAGTACTGTTGGAAACCCACCGGAGGTTGGCCGGGTAACCAAGCAATCCAGTCAAAGAGACCAGGGAAGGACTCTACTTGAATGCAAATGTGAAGTTGAAGTAAAATTACAACAAATGCCACTGTCCTCCATAGCTGAGAAATCATGATGCCTTGGACAACAGGAGGATAGAGCCCAGAGATGGAAGGAGGTTGGGAAATTGTTGGCCGGTGGTGGTGGGGTGGTGCGTTTTATAAAGGGTTTACTGTTCTTGTTATTATAATATAAAGTTTGTTTTTGAACTTTATCTCCCTCTGAAAATTTGGGGTTGATTTGATAATTTTGATGGCATGTGAATTGGTTTACTTTCTAGTTTCTACTGCTTACTGTTATTTGATATCATTTACTATTTGGAGCACTTTTGTGGTACATCCAAGGGAGGTTATATACAACAAAAAGATATTCCTTCCATTATGGTTATACTAAATGTCGTCATACCTTAAGTCATGTTCTAGTCATCCCTTGCTAATCTCCTTTTTTAGTAGAAATAATAGATTTTTAGTTTGAATTATATGACAAAATTAAAGAATTTGAATTATATGATATAAATAAAGTGTGCTAAGAAATATAAAAAAATTTAATATATAATTTTAATAAAAAACTTATATAAAAGTAAATTTTTTTTTTATGTGTAACTCAAAAATTAACAACATGCTTAATAGAGGCATAATTCATTAACTAATAATAAATAGAGTAATTTTTTTAATATTTAAATTATAAATATTTTATTTTAATATTATGCACAATTTTAATATAATGTTTTTTTTGGATTGATTTTTTTTTAAAAACAATTTATCAAGGACAGGTTTGAACCCATCCAAAGAAAAGGAGAATGCACCTCATGGTGGTAGGGTGCCACTTGACTCGAATGGCCGGGTGCTATTTTTGGGTTGATTGGAACTGCATGTGTATATGTAATATATTAATTGATCGATATATGCAAGAATATGATAGGAATATAGAAAGGTAAAGGAAAGGAAAAGAGTTAATCCATGTTGTGTCATCCCCACATCAAAAAGAATCCTGATAGTGTCTCTGTGAACTGTGCTGGGTCAGCAAACAGAAGGAGAGACTACCCTGAAAATGAAAAGAGAGAATAATGTGCTTTTGAAATGGTGATGGCAATTGCTCAGGGAAATTGCAGGTCCAATGCTTTTGTTTTTATTGTTGGACTAACAAGCAAGCAAGAATACATTCAGTACCATCTTATCAACTCTGGTGCCATACAGTGCGTGAGCTCCTGAAAGAGCTTTACAAGCTGAGGAAAAAAAAGAATCATGTGAGATATCACAATCATGCAAGATCACATGACTTTTTCTATTAACTTTGGCCTTAACTGGCATAACAAATTCGAGTGCAAGAGATTAATAAAAAGAAATTAGTTCATGGACTTACAAATAAAGATTAATCCTTAATACGTTAGAACACAATGATTAGCTGCTTTGTGTCCTGAAACTAGGGTTAAATTAAAAATACAGTGAAGCATGATAACCTGAACTTGGAAACAGAAGCTTTTGTTGCTTTTATTTTTCCTTTAGGTACTGAAACAAAAGCTTTCATTTAATTAGAAAGCAATTCCTATATTCCTTTTACCCTGGGCAGGAGAGAATCTCATATTCTCATGTACATTCTGCCTTCTATTAAGCTGGGTAAGTGAACCTTTCATTTTGTCTGAGCTTTGGTTTTGTAAAAACTGTAAAGATGACTCTTTTTCTTGGCACTCAAGCTATCACCTTCACTAATTGGGACCAGGGGGCCAAGAGAAGAGCCAAAGTGGACTGATCTCAGAAGGTATGTTGGCAAAAGCCTGTTGCTCTTTACTTTGATTCCTTAAAGTTCTTTTCTTAGCGATGGACAATGGAAATACACCTTTACAGTGTTCTATTATTTTTCAAAATTTTCACCCTCTTTTTATTGAATTTTAATTTTTGAGCTTGACTACGTAAATAAATGTTGAATTCATTCATAGAGTTATGATTTTCTCTTAAAAAGCTAATTTTATGAAATATGAATTTCTAAAATTCATCATGAATTTAGATTGTGAAAATAAGAGTTTAAACACTGACTTATATGACTTGATTTTTCAAATCTCAGTTTGAGGCTTGTTAGCACTCAAGTCCAAAATTTTTAAACTCATTATACCAATCATTTTGTCCAAATATTTAAGCTGAATGGTTTCTTTTTGTTTGGGGTTCACTTGATAAGTGATAAATTTACAAAAAGTTTCTCATTGTTGAGTTAGGGAGAAGCATGAACTTATTTAAGTTAGGAATTTAAATTTAAGATGATGTCTTTGCATCTGCGTTTAAGTCTTGCTCGCCCTTCTACCGGTCTGGTTCCCAACACTTTTCTTGTCACCAACAGAATATGTATTTGCAGAGAGAAAGGATTTAAAACAGTATGATGATTCACTCAGCTGAAAATAACTTTTGTTATATTTTTTGGCTCTTCCTTGCGTCAGGAATGACAGACAGGACAAATTGGAGTCCTCTGTTCTATCCATGATCCATGGTGCCTCTGTTTCTTTTGCAGCCTAAGACAAAAATGTCATTTTTCTCAAGGAATTAAAATTCAGAACCCCAATAGTGTTTTGGAACATCAAACAGGAATTTTGAACTTTTTCATAGAATTTTACTGTTTACTTACTGTAAAGTGTAAACAAACGTTGGTTTGTTGGTGTAAAAAATTTAAAAAGAAGATTTTGGGTTGGATACTTTATTTTAGTGTGTGTGGTGGGCTTTGTTCGGACAATTTGCTGGGAAAATGTGAAGGGAATGGCTGAGCAAGGACCTCAAGCTTTTTATGGAGGCTTCAACTGGAAGCAAGGTTTCACTTTTATTCTTTTCTCCATACTATTTTTTTTTTTTTAAAGTCCCTTTTGATGAATATAAGCTATTAGCTAGTTTACTTGAAATTAGTGTAAAAGCTTGCTGGCTTTTCAATTACAACAATAACTAAATCAAATTTCTTTCCCCTTCCCTCATATGGTTGGACCACAGTTGGTCATAATTTGATCAATAAAGGGTTTTCTTCTAAATGTTTTTGGATAGATTCAAAAGTTAAAGACAGAATTATATCAAATTATGTTCTTTTTGGATAAGATGGTAATATTGGAAAGCTTCAAACATGTGTTTTCAATATGATTTTCATCACATCTCATCACTTGAGTTAAATTTATTGAATTTAAAGTTTTTCAAGTTTAAATTGTCTTTAAATTAATCAGTTGACCAAAATATTGTCAACAAGATTTTGTTTCATGATCAAAAGATATTTCAAAGTCTTGATGTTAGAATGATCAAAATTTTAGGGGAAAACTTGAGAAGTTAAGAAAAGAAAGGCTTCATCTCCTACTTCCCCTTTTGAAAAAGGAAAGTTCTACTTTCAACAAAATGGCAGACAAATTAATGAAAGTAAGGCACTGATGAAACTCAGAAGTGCTAAATTACTTTCATATGGACAATGTGAAAGACAAGACTTTTTAGCCCTCTCTGTATCTGCAACCAATGGGGAGTAGAACTTTGAAATTGGAATTTGCTAGATAGGAAGAAAGAAGGTGAATCCAAGATCTTAATCTTCTCTTAGTGTTAGGTGACGATTGTATCTGGTCAAGAGGGTGTAATTGATTTCCACTTAAGAATGTTGGAGTAAACATCTTCATCATTCTTTATTGGGACAAACATCCCAATCTTCTCCTGAGACAAAAGGCAAAGACCGTATAAACAAAAGGTAACAAAAATTCAGCCCACCGCCCCACCCTTGAGTGACCTTGGATGGATGAAACCCTCAACTCAACCGCCTTAATTCCCTTTTTTTGGGTCTTGGCCCCCCATCTCTCAACTAACTTCCACACAAACTTTTACACTTGGAAGATGAATAAGAAAGATGATGATAAAGTATTTAGAAGGGATTTGTTCGCAGCACTTGAAAACACAATCCATTATAAATTTATAATCATTCCAAATGCAATGATTATGAAGAGAAACAAAAAGTTCTGTAGGGTATGATGATATATAGACGGATTATATCTTGATTTCGGGCTCACTAAGAAAAAACAAATGAACTGGGGAGGGGCCAATTCTTTTCTCTTATAATAATTTAAGTTTAGCTTGTGTTTAAGTGCTAAAACTAAACTCTCTCTCTCTTTTTCTTTTTTTTTTTTTTTTTAAGAAAAATGTAATAAGATAGATCATATTTCTTTTTCTTTTTCTTTTTTTAACCTTTATAGGTTAAACAACCATTATTGTATTACTCCATTTGGTCTCTTTTAATTTATTTAATTTAATTTTTAAATGTAATTTTATTTGATACATTTATATAACAAATAAATGATAATTTAAATTTTTTTAATCAAAATGAAACAAAATTTATATAGAAAAAGAAAAAAAAATTAACTATCATTCACTTATTATATAAAAGTTAAACTATAACAATTAAAAAGACTAAGAGAATATATTTTATAACCTTTAACTGAGTCTTATTCAAGAAGATTGAGAATAAAACAATTGACAAGATATGAAATGGAAGCAAACAAGTGTTTAATCAGTTTTGTTCAGGGCCCACATTCATTAACAGAAAGAGAAGCAAGAGGATTAACTGTTATGAAGAGATTAGGTCAAAAAATCCCCTTTTAGAGTTTAGTGCGTCTTTCTCTTCTTTCCCCAGGCGCACTTTTCCCCCCAGAAAGAAATGCTTTTTCTCTCTGAATTAGCCATTGGGTGCAATATTAAATGGAAGGGCACATGCCCCTCGACCATCAGATATTCACACATCTATTTCTGCCTTTTTGGAGTGCCAATATTTTAGCTGCAACACCTGCGGGGCGTGCCTCAGTGTCATAGAATGGAAGGGACCGCAATTGGTGGTGTAGATTTAACAGAATTGATAAGGGCTATGCCTATCCCTATTTGCTTTCATTCCAATTCCTATCTTTCAATGGCAAAACTACCTACTACTTAACGACTTAAGTAACTTAATAAGATTCTCCTTTCCTTGGAAAAAATTATAGATTGAAGGTGGAGGTAGTTTAAGGTACGCACGAGAGAAGCCAACAAAGCCAAAATCAAATTAAAAAATAAAAATAAAAATAAAAATAAAATAAAATAAAATAAAATAAAATAAAATAAACTAAAAATGTCTCAATACAATTATTATTCCTCATCTTAAGGCTGTTGTGGCTGTTCCAGGGTATCTCTTCTATGTTACAGATCCTTTGCATGCATTTTCTTCGTCCTCCTTTTTCTTTCCTTTTTTTTTTTTTTTTCTGTATTTTTTCCTTTTTTTTTAATGCTGGATTAATTCTAAAAAAGAAAAAATGTATGAGAAGAAAAAATGTTATAGAAATATTTAAACGAATAAATATATGTGGATTGTAGGATGAAACAATGTGAAAGAGTTTAAGATCGTTCTTATTGACCTGTCAGCTTTCCTAATGGTTGTGACTCGTACATTTGTTCTACACTAATAATTCATTGTCTCATGGGCTTTTTTGAAGATGGTTCACAAAATTTGGGAGTTGTCCCATACAAAACACCCTGTAACCAGTCCTCAACAGAAGGGCAACACACATCATTTAGTTGAAACGAACTCAGGTAAAGCCATTTTCATATCAACGCAATCCAAGGGCTCACTATGGTCCTGATCCTACATTGGACTGAAAGGAAATGATGACTTTGGGTTATGACAACAGATACCTTCATTTAACACATTAGTATTTGGACTTGGACTGATCTAATTCCTTTTTGAAAAATCAAATCAAGTATCCAGGATTGTTCAATATTTACAATATAAGCATGGCAAATCTCAGCTAAAATATTAAGTTTTTCAAGAACTACATATTGGTAAATACAACTCTTCTGTGTCCATATGCAGTCCCATCTACTTATCTTAAAGACATTGTTTTATTTACATATTTAAAAAAAAAAAATTAGTATCAAGTTGGTTGTTGACACATTTAATAATTATTACAATTTACAAATTCGTGTGTGGGAGCAATAACGGTGTTCCCCTATCAACGGTGAAACAACTATCAAGCATGCATGCAATAAAACATAGAGAATTAAATTGGAAAGAACAAAACAGATGAGATAATTTAGTCACACTAACCATTCTCCGTAAGTTTATTTTTTTAGCAGATTTTCAAGCAGAAGTAGAGTTGTCTTGATCAATTTGTTTGCGGGATGCTTCCCAAAGTCGATGCTCGATCCCCAGTTTTGCTAGCTCCATTAGTCCTTCCTCAACTAAACAACAAAAAAGATAAGCAATTATTTTTAAGAAAATCATTACTTACTTGAAATAACTTTCATCTAGATAACCAACTTCGAATACAAGTACACACATGAAGAACCAAATTACACATTCCAGCCCACAAGGGGTGTCTGAACTAGTAGGGGCTTGCAACTCTTTAAGTTATAACCCACAATCAAATGCACCAAAAAACTAGGTGGGATGGTTAAAAAGATAAAAATATGCATAGAAGTCCAATAACTGGGAATTCAATTAAAATCTTTTTCTCAATAATTACAGGAAGTTGGGGGAATTTTCCACAAAAAGAATTGAATTATTTCAAGATATAAATTTTGATTACCATCTACAGCATCATGTGAACTTGGTGAATACCCACTGCGGCTGATCCAAAATTGAAGTCTTTCTTTTGCAATGTCCTCCTCGATGCTGTGGGCTTTGGCTCTTCTCCAGATATATGTAAGCCATGCCTGTGCAAGTTCAAAGCATACAAGTTTAGCAGGGAAGAGCAGCAAATTCACCAGCTTTTGCAGATTATACTTATTTACGATAGTGACATGCAAAGAATGTTCAAACATGAATGAGATTAAAATGAAGATTAAGATAAAGGACAGAGTGGACCTCCTTGAAAAGAACATCCTCTGATTCCTCGGGACTCAATTCTGCAAGATATCATTAATCAGTTAGACAGGAAGATGCCTGCTGCACAAGGAGGCAGGCCAGAAGAAGTCACGTAACGGATAATACAAAAAAACATAGGCATGAATTGGAATTACTTTAGTTCAGTTGTTTTAATTTTCCAAGCAATAGAGGTAATGCAAGTATGCAACACTACATAATTGTATGTCATCTTTCTTCTGCTTATATTTCTCTCCATTTATTGCAAACTGACTCCAAAGCCTGTTAAAAGAAGAACCAAAGAATGACTCACCAAATGCCTCCATAAACTTTACTTCATGTGGTGATTTGATGTCTGAAAGACAGAACAAATGAAGCAAGCACTCAGTGCAGATTATTTGAGACAATATACTGGTTTTGAGTAAATTGAAATTTGTTAACATGCACTTCTTGAATAAAATAAGACACATAGCCTGTTTCATCATTCATGATCATCAGAAAGTGAGAAAACAATAAATTTCCTCAAAATGTAAAAAGCAGGGAAACAGGATAACTGATCAGCAATATATATACAAAGAGAAGTAGGAAAGCTGGGGTTGAAACCTTATCTGAGTTCCCATATTTCAAGAGTAAAGTTTACCCATAATCCATTAGATGTAGGGAGTTTCTTCCATTTATATATAGCAACGGAATCATCCATACAACAAGTAGAATAAACCTCTGGGATTGTTAAACATGCCTTTGATAATACACACACACACACACACACAATTGTTATAAGATAGGTCATTCAGTTGGATTGCCACTAATCAAATAAATCAGCTTTTACTTTCTATGCCCAACAGGGGATATGGAGGGAGGGGAGGAATGAAACAACATGAACAAGAAATTATGAATCTTAGAAGCCACCACAAGAGCAAGCAAAAGCTACAAGTTATATAAAGCAAACCTCCTGTAGACAGTTGAACAGAATCTGCTCTTCTTTGTTGAGCTAATGCATGCACAATAGCATCCACAACCTTTAAAAAAGCAAGCATAAAAAATTATGCCAGTAGACTTGTATGAAGAACAATCCTCATGAACATAGTGCTCATACTCCAAAATTAATCACTTCAGAACAGATCAAATCAAACAAAATGATTTATAAACTATGAGCAAGAAGAAAACCTTTAATGAAGCAAGCTCCTTTAGACCCATTTCAACTGAAAGCATACTCTCAATGTTTCCTTCCCCAGTTAGATCATTGAATTCTGAAACAAGTTCGCTCTGTTTCTCATTGTCATCATCAACTGCCAAACATGGTAAGCATCAATTTGTTGCCATCAAAATTAAAAAAAAAAAAATGTTGATGACTAGAGAAAGGCATACGCATACAGAAACTGCAAATCTAATTAAAAAGAACTAAAAATCTTTTGAGCTAAAAGGGAACTGGCTATCAACTGAAGCAACTGATTAACAAGTACTAACCTTTTTCCCGACATTCCTCCTTGGCCTTTTGTCCAGCAGAAACAACAACCTCAAAGGGGAGAGGTGCTAAGGATGACCAGTATTCATATTTTGACACTGCAATATCTGCACATATACCTATAAAGCAGAAAATAAATTATGTAAAACATCAAGATATTTCAATGGATAAAAAACATACCCTTGGATTCTAAATATGAAGGCATCAATTTGAATAAATATATGCAATCTCAATCTTCAAACATTTTTGAGATGAAGCAGGATCAAACAGATTTGAAAGTAAAACCAGCATGTGGAAACCCATATGAGTATGCCATGAAATCTCATTTTAGGTGCGGAAAAGATGACTGCATAGACCATCCTTACAAGAGAAGAGTAAAGTAATTCTAAAAGTAATAACTAAGAAGTTCAGAGCCTTCAAGCTTTTAAGATACTGCACTAAACTTTTCACATGCCATATATGTCAAAGAATGATTATCTGAATCAAAATGAAATAGGTCAAAAGTAAAAGCAGGCAGGTTCATACATGCATGATGCAATAAAAAACAACTGCCACATTGCTACTAATTATGAACAAGTCAAACCATAAAATTTATAAACATGAAATGCATCTCTCTTATCAATATGAGCAAGAAACATAGAGATCCGGATTATTACCATACTTCGCAGCTAAGCCCCAGTAGCGAGCAAGCCAACACCTTTTCAGAACAACTTCTTCCTAAAATGTAAATATAGGATATATTTGAGTTCCCAATGACATAATAGACTCTGTGATTCTGGCAATCACATTGGTACATACCATCTCTTTCTGTGTCAATACCATTCTTTGTGTCATTGAGCGAAGTGCCTTTACTTCAGATTCAGCTCCATGAAGCTGCTGCCCAGCAACTGCAGCTTCATCTCTTGCATTCTGAGCATGCAAAATACAAGTGATATCCATCAAGGCATGTATTTGTTTTCAAGAAATTCAAACTTTATCCTTCTAAACACATTCTTTTGGTTTGTGGATGTGAAAGTGCAGATGTTTTGAATGAATTATTTAAGGGTGGATTGGAAAATGAAATATTTCACAAGGATCATATGAATATAGTGGATACATATCAATGGCTCAACGCACTTACCTGAACTTCAGAATGAAGAGATGCAATCTCCATGTCTATCCCATCCTTGCTTTGTTTTGCATCCTTAAGTGCAGCCTTTTGAAAGAATAAAATGGCAAGGAAAAGAAAAGCATATAGCTTGTCATAAGTTTGGAATCATACCAAGATGCCCATTATTTCCCTAGCAGTAAAAATTCTAAAATTCGAACATTTGAAGGTGTAAGAACAAGTTTGGAATCACCCACCACAAAAGAATGTAAAAAGTATTTATTTCAGGACTACTAAGTTAAATTTACAAGCCCAGAAATAGTTATTTACTTGTTGCAAAAAAAAAAAGAAAAAAAAAAAGCCCAAATTCTTCATCACCTCTCTTTGACACAATGCGGCCTCCTTTCTGCAAATGGAAAGACATGATTTTTCAGACAACTAAAATTGGCAGACATCATGAGTTTGAGTTGTTACAACTCTAACCAACCTGCTCAAGAGTTTGGCTTCTAGGGACACACCTTCTCCAAGAGCAACCACCTAAAAGCTCAAAAGACAAGCAAAATTAACAACCAATATCACAATTGCTGAATTTTTTTCTTCCTTTAAAAGCAGACATAAACAAATAAAAGCTAACAAACAACATAGATTACTTTGAGACCAAGACTAAGAGGGAAAAGAGCATGTGTAGAAAATAAAAATGACCAATTAAACTAAAACCCAGAATCCCAAAATTAGCATGAGAAACCTAACTTAGTGCAAAAATAAAGCCACAAGAAATAGATCCTCAGAACCAATGACTTTAGCTCTAAGACTTTGTCTCAGAATATTCATAAAAAAAAAAGTACCATACCTGTTTTTCAAGCTCTCTAACTCTGGCCTCTGCTTCCTTGCATCTTTCTTCCTCAAGTCTAAGCTGTATGGTAACAAAAAAAATGATTAGTACTATTAGACTACACATAATCAAGCAATCCTTAAGTATCACACCAAACAAGAAAAATTATAATGCACCTTCTCAAGGATATTCTCGTTCTCCTCTTGAAGAATGTCAAGCTGCATAGAGTACTTGTTAGTTTGATAGTAATTTTAGTGGATGAAAATAGAAAATCTGATACTCATTTTTTAATAGATAATTTATTACAATGTTGGAAGAGTATTTAACTTGATAATAAGTATAATTAGCATACTTCATCACGGAGTGCAGAAGCGTCATGCTGACCTCCAGTATCTTTTGAGTTAAAATTTACATTATCAGTCGTGAATCTGCAATTCACAGACATTTAAACTGATAATTTTTTACATGAGTAAAACATATGAACTACTGGTGAGAGCTAAACTAAAAAGAAAATGAGCACTTCAAAACTCAAAAAGCAGTAATTCAAGCAATAATTCAAGCAATAATAATGAGATGAGGGAAGGCCTATACTTTTAAGTGAATCAAATTGTTCAACACCAGGCAGATGTAGTCAAACCTAATTTAGTTAGGCCTATTGGGAACGAGAACAAGTCACCATTAAAAAAAAAAAAAAATTCTCCTTGTGTTAACCTTGAAACAAGCTTCATTTTCCTGCTTTGAAGTTCTATTGAAGCCAACTAAAAGACCATTAACTCAAATGGTTGACTTGTCAAAAGACCAATGAAGTATAAAAATGGATTCTCAAAATTTTTTTGATCATCCTGAAATTGTGCAGTAAAAGTAGGAATATAATTTTTCATAAAATTGTAAGACTATTTATACCTTTTCTCCATTGGACGATTTTTTGGAGGATCCGATGGTGGCATGCAAACAGCCATCCTCAGAGAAGTTTTATTGGGTGGAGGTATTGGTGGTGCTCCTGTGCGAAGAGGCATTGATGGCTTTCCAGCTGATGTTGAGCGAACTGATGAAGTTTCCTCTACATTGTTCTGAGTTAACTAAGATAAAAGAATCATAAATTCCACTAAGTCTTCAAACTTTGAGGGAAATGAGAGAAAAGAAAATGAAGGGAATTTACACAACTTATTTGGATAACTTAAAATTAGCAAAGAAAAAGAGAAGAAAACGATAAAAAATATTACTCTTCCCCACATTCTTTTATTTTCCAAGTAAAATTATGTATTTTCTAATTCCATGGAACTTTTATAACACAGAAATGATCCATGATTCTGCATTTGTTGACCACTAAACTGAATCTAAACTGCCAAAATTTTGCATAATACGAACTTAATAAGCTTATACTCCTATAATTAACTTAAATCATACTTCAAAACACAATGCAGCTAAATCAAAATATTCTGCATCGTTCTCAAACTCAATCTCTGTCATAAAGAAAATGGTAACTAATAAATCGCTACAAATAAAATTTAGTTACCGCAGGTGAAGGAGATCTACTGATCCTAGCAGATTTACTTGCATCAACTGTACTGTTTCCGGCACTACTAGGTGCAGCATTAATGGACCTAGATAGAGACAGGGGAGGAAGAGTAGTGTAGCGGAATCCTAGATCGTTGGCGTCATCTTCGTCATCATCGTCAGTGGTCTGAGAAGCCATGACCTGAGCCAACCGCTGAGCCGCAGCTTTGGCAGCCACATTTTGGGTGCGCTTGATGCTGGAAATTCCAGAGGCAGAGGAAGAACGAACATGGTGGGAACGAACATGGTGGTTACGAGCCGAAGACAATGCCGGTGTCGCAAGACCACCGATGGTCACAGACACCGTGCTCTCCGTCCGCTTCCGATCCATCAAACTTCACCACCTAAACGCTACGTAGCAACCAAATTAAAATCTCGATCCAGTCAATGAGAGGTGTGAAGTGCGAAGTGGAATTGGCGGCGGTCTGGATCTCCGTGCCGCCGGAGTTAAATTGACAACATGATTTAGAGTTTACAGGAGATCCTTTTTATTACTTTTTCTTTTTCTTTTTCTTTTCTTTTCCTCTCTAGTTAAACGGAGAGTTAAAATAGGTACATGTTTAGGAAGTTTGCACCTGTGCTTTTAAAAGCAAGAGGAAGAGGAATCGCCATGCACAAAAGGCCATTTGGATATATGATTCTTGTGGCTGAATTGGTAACATATGTTGAAGAATAATGAGGAAAATGAGAGTACCATACTGCTCACACCTTCAAACGAACTCCGGTTAGGCAGCCAAATCAGCACAGATATTATTTTATTTTATGAAAAAACAGATGTGTAGTTTCACACAATAAGAACCAAATGACGAGGTGGATTTTTGATATGGGAGTTCGTTTCATTTAATAGTTTTTGTTTCGTAGTTTTAATTTTATATAATTATAATTATATTTTATTTTAGTTTTAAATTTTAAATTGTACTTTTTTTAAGTTTTTTTTTTTAATTTTGAATTGCATAACGATATACATTTTTCTTTTATTTTTTAATTCATTTTATCAATATTTCATATAATTTTAATTTAAAATCTCTTATTTTTAAAGAATTTTTTTAACATATATGTTATGCACAAATTGAGAATATAATAAATATATCTTTTCACCATAAATTTATATAAAAAAAGTTGACTTTTAATTATTACTTTTTTAATTAAAATCATTTATTTGATACCAATATTAAAATTAATATCAATTTTTATAATTTTTTTTATATATATTTATAATAAAAACATGCTTTTAATTTATGTCCTAAAATACAAATTAAAAAAACTTTTTTTTAAATCATTATATCTAATCAAGATTTTAGATTGTACTTATAAAATGGGTTTTTCTAGCCCTAATTTAAAGATACAATTAATATACTTTTTGATTATTAATTTATGTTGAAAAATAAAAATTGACAATCAATTTATGAATCATCTATAATTAGCACGAATTCCAAAATCAATATCAATTTTTTTTTAAAAAAATTGATATATAAATTTAAAATTAAAAAAATACATTAATTACAACCTTAATTTATGCCTTATAAAATAAAAGATAATTTTCTTTACTTACTTCGTTGATATGCATACCACTTAAATTTAAAGTTCATTTACATCATTTATACGCATGTTAACATTAGATAACATGGGTGTTGGAGGTCCTTCTAATTGCAATGAGAGCCCATATGATATTACATTAGTGAATGTAATATATGAGTATATAATTCTTTTTTCTTCAAATTGAGAACTCTATTATTACGAGATAAAAATCATAAATAATTTAAAAAATCCTAACATAATATACCAAAATTGTATTCTTTTCTAATTCTTATTTTACATAATCACCAAAGATTAGCGAGTAAAAGGTCCTAAACCTCAGGGGAAAAAAAAAGGGGAAAGGTAAAGGTCTGTACTGAAAAAAAGAAAAAGACAAGTAGCTAGGCTGGCTTGGCATTTTTGCGCTTCATGTCTTCCCTTTTGGTTGCACTACAAACGGTCCTTCTGACGCACCTCCAACACCCATAGGAGTTGCAAATTTCATCATCATGTGGGTGGGTAGAAGCTATGGCTCGCACGTATGATTCGGTGCTGGTCGGCCGATGATTACCGTGAACACAGGTGCTGACGCCATCTTCACAAGAATCACAACATAAAACTCTATCGACAGCTTCAGTAATCTTATGCGGGAATGTTCCCAGGGTCACTGGCAGTGTGATAGTTCCTTGTAGTGGCACTGGGACATTTGTATTAATGCCCAATCTATTTCCCTTCCCTGGGTTTTAGCTGCTCATCCTTTAACTTCATCTCCTTCCTGACATACATCATAAAACAAGATGTTTACACTGGAGCCTGTGTCTATCAAAACCTTCTAAATCTCATAATCAAATTTGGTCGAGCGGTCTGAGTCATCCCAAATGAGGCGAGTTACTGGAAGAGCCTCGTTCCTCGGTCCCATGGGATCCAAATCTCTATTAGAGAACGCAAGGGATTGTTGTTTGCAGCTGATCAGATGAAATGAAAAAAACAAGTAAAAACCCTAAAAGCCCTATAATCACAAGAACATTAGTTGGAGATCACAGAGCCAAAATTTGATTCACACATGCCTTTTAGTGAAGCAAAAAATTTTCATTTTTCTTCTTTATTTGTTTCTCATTGTGCTTGTGAAGTCGTTCTTCATAAACATTGGCATAAAATAATTTCATTTATAATAAATTTTCATAATAATCACATGATATTTATTAAGTAGGTATATATTATATAATTCATACATCTCATTGAATGAAGAAAATAATAAATTTATTGATTATTGGCACGTCACTCGGAGAAATTGTTGATCACAAATGTTGTTAACAATTTGCTTTCGAAGATTTAAACTACATTAAGTGATTTACAGTATATATGTGTATGTAAAATAAAGGGGAAAAAATATTAGAATAGAGAGAAAACATGAAATACCTATACATGGAGTTACAATCTAAGACAAGGATGCAACAAATGAACTTAGCTGAAGCAGACAGACATAAAAAGTAGAGCAGAAGAGCAGCAGCAGCCTGATCCAGTGAAAAATGTATCCTCTAGAAAGCGGAAGAGCGAGGGGCATAAAAACTTCTACAGGTGTGTGTACATATACCATAGAGAAGGAATTGAATTATGTATTTCTAGTTCAAATACAAGTACTTGGCTGTCTGCGGGGCGGCCAGTTCCTATTTTCATCGTGCAAAACATCTTTAGGGTTTACCTCTTTGTGCCTTATCCTCAAAATTTGCCACAAATTTTTTAACTGAGCTTTCGTTTTCAACATTCACTGCCTCTAAAACTCTCACTGTCCAAATCAGATATTTGAAAGAATCCATTCGTCGGACAAAATTACTACATGAAAGTTTAAATTTCTCTTAAATGTCCTCTCAGAAGTCTCCACCATGACCACAATCACTCCTACAGAGGGTTTCGTTGGCATGCTGCCCTTAACCTATCTAACTATCTAGCTTTCTTTGTTTTTTAACAGACGAAATTATTTAAGAGCAACCATCTTGTTTATACAAATTATGAAAATTACAATTTAAAAGTTTTAAATTCAAATATTAAAAATATATAAAAAAAAATTAAAAACTTACAATTTCTGAGTCCTTTTTTGCACATTATTTTATTAAAGTGATAAATTATTATGATTAAATTAAATTTAATTGATGTTTTACATAATTTAATAAGTATATTAATGTATGACACTTTTTCAAGGTAATTATCAAATAATAATACAATTATTATAATAGTATAATACTTAAAAACCACAATCATAACATCTTGTAGTAATCCCAAAACAAAGCCTAATAGAAAACAAACCCACGTCCAATGCCAACGGAATTTTGACAAAACACAAACGTATGCCACAATTCACAAGACCTTGTGGCAAACAAGCAATTGGCAAATCTAAAGATTTCCCATGTTTGGCGGCCTAAAAGGAGAATTCTATGTTTTGGTTGTCCTTTTCAATTTTCCCCACCAAATTTATCCTCTTGCTCGGTACGCTACGTTGCAGATTCTGTATTTCTCTAATTTCCAAGTACTGAACTGTCAGATATGAATTTTTGTTTTGATATATATATATATATATATATTTTTTTTTTCTTTTTGGCTACCTCTGTTTCCCTTTCTAGTTTCTTCGTTGTTTTTGTTTAAGGACATAATGCTGTTTTCGCCTTCAATTCCCAGTTTCCTTTAACCAGTTAGGGATTTTTCCAACGCAGCAGAGAGAAAAACAGGATAATAGCGAAATAGCAGAATGGTGGGGTTGGTGTAGGACCAAGCGAAACCGAATCCTTTGACACAATTCACTCCAGGGTGTAACGGTGCACGGTGAGGGCATTTTGTTGATCAGAGTAGCAGCAGTAAAGGCACCTCTGCCTTTCATGTCTCGTTCAAAATTTCACCGCTGCCATTACCGGTGAACTCAATGAACTTAACATTGGATCATTCCTTCACTATCCTTCAACCTTTTGATTCTTTTTCTTTTAGTACTTTCATTGGACACAATTGGCATTTTGGCAATTTTATATTTGTTGCCGGTATTTGCCTTAGTCAGCTCAACTACCTGTCAGACCAAGAAAGGAAAATTCTGTGGCTCTCCATGCAAAGACAGTCTTCCTAAGCATTTGACCAGATAAGGTCATTGGAACTCTTCTCCAGCATATTGATGACAAATTGATGGAAAAGAAATCCGGTCTAACCTCAACCACCTACCCAACATGACCTGACGGCTCCATCTGGAACTGCAAGGTGATACACAGATTTTTTCAGGTATGGTTTTTACCGAAAAATAAAGGGGGCTTAGGATCATGATTTTGTCATTTAATGGCAAAGTCTTGTTCATGTGCCCTTCGATAGAGCAATGTCGATGCTTCAACCCTGTTTTTGCAGCAAGGGGGAAAGGAAAAGTAGAATAGCTTGTTCAGTCCAAAAACAAGTTAATTGCTAGCACAACCATGAATCAAAAAGTGAAGACAATCTCACCAGCCAGGATGGACAACAAATCTGCCTTTCGATCGAGCCCAATTTACCTGTCCAGAAGAACAACATAATAATTTAAATCAAAGAAGAAAAAATTTACATGTCCTTCAAAGTTTTCACAGCTTTAACCTTATAAAGATAACAAGATAACAGCAAAAACTCATTACACCTAGTGAAAACTGAGATCAGATTTTCCCATCCTGTCATGACTTGGTTGCATAGAAAGACCTGTATTTATCAGAAAGTATTTTGAATGCAAACATGAATCATGTATAAATCTCTAGAAGAAGCTTTGGAGATAGGGCTTAACTCCCCCTATCAAGCTCACTGAAAAGCGCTTGAGAACATGCCAACAAAATTACTTCCATATTAAGCAATTAAATTATGGCTGATATACTAAGTGTGTTTCGTTGTGGAAATATTTTCGATTTTCCATCTCCAGAGAAAACGTTCTTTGTTCTTTAGCTAATGGAAAAAGAGATTGGTGAATGGAAAATGAAAACGACTTTCAGAGAATTTTAACTGGAGAGCAAAGAGAACAAAAGTTTTTCAGAAAGCAAGGCAAACGTCAATACCTTGTCAGTTCCAAGGGAATTGGCCACAACATGTGTGACTTGTTCATCTATCTGAGTTGTGCAGACAGCTCCAAACTGTTCAGCTGTCTGCCATAATGGATGTAGGTGAGGGTTGGCTTCACCAACAGGAAATATCCTGCTAAATACTATTCGACAACCAGACAAAATCTTCTGTTGCTCATTAGCTAAGATATTCCTAACATCCACATCATCTAAATTATGATGGGAGAAAAACTGCTGATGTATTCTTTCAATGACCTATTGATGCCAAAAAAGGTGGGGTTAGTGAGATTAATGTTGATTGCATATGAACCATAAGGTCAATTGAAGCAGTTGCCTCACCGCCAGAGAAGATGCCAATGTCCCATCTTCTGTTCTCTCATCATGGTCAATCTCAAGAAGAGAAGGACCGGGAAGTCCAAATTGGCGCCTACTACATGGAAAATATGTATACCTGTGGCAGGTTCTTTTTAGATGGGTATAAAAAATGCATGCCACAAACCAAAATCTCATGTAATCAATTGCTCAGTCAAATAATGCTTACCTTTCTACAACAATCAAGTTTAATTTGTGATGTGGCCAGACTCTCACAGAATCATCTATGATAACAACAGCCGATTCCATACCCAGTACCCCTTCTAGATCCTTACTCTTGGGAACCTTCTCATCACCATCAATAAGATCTCCATCATCACCCCTAGACATAACTCGTCCAGCAAACAAAGTTCCTTTTGGATCTAGCACTTTTGCCATCTCCGTGGCATATACCCTGTTCCCCATTGTGTAAAGATGCAATTCAAATAGTTTACTGGCCTGAAATGCAGACAGAGGAGACTGAGTAGTTAATGGATGACTTAAGGTGGCACCCACACTAAATGAAATTTTCAATGAATGACCTTCTCTAAGAAATTCCAGATTCCAGGTCGCAGTTTTGTCCACATTCCCATATGAGGAAAGCGGAAAAGATGCCTCTGTGGTTTTTCACGATCTAGTTCCTCTTTTTTTCTCAAGATCTCCTCATGCACTGGCTCTACCTCGACAAACTGAAAAGAAAATATGTAAACATTCAATAGCAGGATAGGCACTCTTTTCAAATATTAGCCAAAGAAAAAAATGAAAAAAAAAAAGAAGGAAAGTTAATCCATCATAATTGCAGAACTTACTTTTGCTGAATTAAGAAGTGTATGATCCAGATCCAAGACAAGACAGAGCTTGCGTGCAGAAAACATTTTCTTCTGTTCTTCAATCCTCCTTGCCCTTTCTCTCTGGATTGCAGCTTTTTGCTGATCATCATATCCTTCAAAAAGATGTGCAACATCTACCCACGTGTTCTGTGGTTGAGGACCAGTTGCAATTACTGCAGGGGCTGAAACAGTCATGGTTTGCTGATCCTCAGAACTTGAAGCTACTACAGGTTTCATATCCACCCTATCTGACTTGATTTGCATCGGTTGAGATAATAAAGGCTGAGACATGGGACTTGTCAATGCTCTTGAGACAGACATAATATCAGCAATGTTTTTGAGATTATCGGTAAATTGTTGAGCAATATCTGGTTGTGGAATGGACAGAGATTGCATTGGCTTAGATTCCACATGGCCCTCAAGCTTTTGTGAAATCAGACTCTCCTTGCTCCCCTGAGTGTTTGATGTAGGGGGTCCATTTGTTCTAAATTGCTCAGGCCCCGAGCTGACACTCTTTTGAAGTGTAATTCCATGGAGGACACGGCGAGGATCACGAGGTTTCATTCGAATTTTTTCAGAGTCATCCTATAAAGACATTGCTATTTCAAGTCAAGAGATCAAGATGTAACAGAAGTATGAATTGCTAAAAATATCTAACCCTAGAAGCAACATACAATACTTTGATTTTAAACCTTGTCCGAGAGAGTGTAGTGGGTGTTGAGAGGAGAAATTTGCTTAAGATGCAGACGATTCAAACACGTATCATTTCCACATTTTAAAATGAACTTAAAAAGAAGTGCTCATTATAAGTTTATCTGAGAAAGAACCTGAAGAGTTCCTGCTGATTTTGGCAAATTCCCTGAGGGATCTGAGGAGGCAGCATTCACAATTGGAGCTACTGCTAGTATTGAATTGGTGGAACTTGGATGAGAACTAGTTACAGGTCTGGTAGATTTCGAGTGAGATTCAGATGCTAATCTCTGCTGCTGCTCTAGTAGTAAATTTATGAGCATGGTTGGATTTACAGCCAAATCTTTCAGTAAAAGAGGTAGTGTAGCAGGAGTACCAGTGCTTGTCACTGGTAGCTGCACCTGCTCATTTCCTCCAACAGCCACATTAGAATTGGGACTAACAGTTACAGAGCAGGTTACTCTGTCATCCATTCTCCTAAAATTGGGATCCGCATTCTCTACCCTTTGGTCTGTATTCGTAACTTGATATCCAACATCAGTTTCCTCCAACCAGCCACCAGTTCCAGACACTGTATAAAAATCCCTAACGACCCCACAACTTTCTACCTCATTCCTTTGCCTTTTCAGTGCAGGACTGTCCAAAATGGGCTCCTCAATACTCTTTTTCTTTCTTGAGCTCATTTTCCCTCCCACAGGTTCCACTTTAGGTGTATTTTGTGAGGACCTTTGGTTCAAATCCAAAGCACCCACATCAGAATTGGCAAACCTAAGCCTAGGGTCTCTGCTTTTTGCTGACACTTTCACTGCTGGATTAGATCCAGAAATAACTGGTGCAGCAGTTATAGATGCAGCCACTACTTGCATGCCAGAGCTGATAGCATCTGTGTGGAGAGGTGAGGAAACAATTGGCTGCCCTGAAGCAGGTGGATTCAATTTAAAGTCACCAATTTTGGCGGAACTTGAAACTTCACCACCAATATCACCACCTGCATCACCAGATTCTTCAGAAGGGGTGGGGCTTGGAAGTCTATCTGTGGAAAATAATGAGCGGAGACCAAATTTTTGTTGATAGGAAGAAAAAGCCTTGAAGGCATCAGTTTCATAAGGGTGCAGTCTAGTTTTTTCTGCAACATTTGCAGCCTTACTTTGAAAAGATCCAGGTTTAATCATCATATCTCCAACATTCAACGGTTTTAGTATAGGTAAAGCCAGGGTTCTTTCTTGTGTGGGTGATGGAAGGCTGTCTGCATCATGGTCCTTGTGAAGGTCTAGCAGGGGAAGTAGAGAAGCTCTATTCCTAAAACTAGAAATTACCAGTTTAGAAGTTTGTAACAACGTGTTTGGCTTATTATGAGCCAAGGATTCAGCAGATAAAGGCAACTTATTCGTGGAAGTCAAATCACAACCATCATTTTCAACTAAAGCATTAGAAACCCTTTTATGCATCTCATCAATGACCTTAATATCTTTCTCTTGATCACTAGCTCTACCTGAGGAATCCAGTGAGAGTAGCATGACTTCAATCTGTCAATACAGAAACCAACGTTAAGTTTCTATAACCACAAAACAATCTTTCTAAGCAAATGTTAATAGTTTCTAAACAACAACTTATGAACCACACCTCTTTCAACTGGGAATGGGAGAATAGAGGAGGATCATTTCTCTTTAAAACAGAAAATAACCTGCTATCAAAATCACAAAAAAAAAAAAAAAAAAAAAAAAAAAAAGAAAGAAAGAAAGAAAGAAAAAAGAGTAAAAATATTGACATCATGCAAAATTTTCAGTTAAAACAAAAAAGAAATTAATTAAAACTAGAACCTTAATAAGATTTCATTATTCTGTTCCTTCAAATTACGTTTCATGGAGACAAACACCTGCAATGCAATTGAATAATAGTTTAGTTTCTCAGGAACAGAACCAGCATTCTGAATTACCCAAGAATTTCAGATAAATCAACTGAGAAAAAAAAAATTGATACTAATGAGAAACTGGTGGATGCCTTACACAATTAACAGCTTCAAATGCTAGTTTATTGAGAGAGTCGTTCCTGGAAACATTGTTCTCCAAAACCAATTCTCGCAACATCTCCAAAGCATTTTGCAACCTGGAACAAACTTCCTCCATTGATCTACAATAAAAAAAAAAAAGATTTTAAATGAATAAGAATAAAAGAAAGGTCAATCCAACATGCCATCTTTTCCGTCCCAAAAAGGGTCAGTTTCAATTCACTTCCATAATTGAACCCAACTGGTAAAACTCATCCAGAAACCCACTTTTAGTACTTACTTCTCTGCTTCAGCTACTGTAATGCCTTCCAGTATTCCTCTAAAAGAGTTCACTTTCTTCTCCAAATCAACCTCCGAGTCACAGACATTATCATTTCTACTACTCAAACCCTTGTCTTTGACTTCTTCGACCTCCATCTCAACCGGCTCAGAATCCAAATCAATCTCACCCTCCTCCAGCTCACCTTCCTCCCTCTCACCATTGACATCCATGTCATTGCTCATTTCCTTCACAGAATTCCCACAACGATTCTTGTCCTCTTTGATATTTACAGAAGCCACAAAAGACGCAACAGAAGACGCCCGGGAAGACCCAGTGGAGTTGTCGTCCTTTTCAGCTCCCAACTTAAAAATCTCATTGAGAGGTTTATTCCGCACTGCTGACGCCCAGGCAAGGCTATACAAACCAGAAGAAGCTGGATATCCCCTATAAATTGAAGGATACTTCTTACACAGATCACGCACAGGACAATCCCTCGAATTGGAATCTTGCTTCGAATTCCTTTCATTCAAGATCCTCACATCCTTCTTCCTAAAATCCTCCTCACTGATCTCCTCCACTGAATCCGAACCCGAATCCGAAATTTCACCTTCCTCGACATCGTCAATTTCTTTTCCCATCTTCCCTAGGGTTCCTTTTTCAAAATTTTTCCAATTAAATCCAACTTCAACCATGTATTTCCAAAGCAATCAAAATCGGAGATCAATCTCTTCACACCGAAAAGAAATCCGCCAACTCGGTCAATTCATCCAACCAGCTTCTTCCGCAGATCTTACAACACACAAAATTACAAAAAAAGGAGAAAAAAATACCGCAACCAGATTATATTAGAGTGAAATTAACCCCATAAATTACGATCGGACGAATCCAGTTCTTTAAAAGCTGAAATTTCTAAGAATTTCAGCTCAGATCTAGGAGACTTTAGAATTGTGTTAGGGGATTTTGAACTCAGAGAAAAGGTGTTAATTAGGAAGTTGAGGACGCAAGCTGAAAGAAGTAACGAGGAAACGAAGGGGGAAAGTCGTTTTTTTATAGAGGGGACAGAGGACCTGGGATGCGTTGGAGATTTGAATCTGGTCCGTACACGTCAGCGATCTGGTGTCGTAAGCTCTGATGTAAATTTGGAGTGTAATTTGGGTTGGGCGGCTTGGATACGATCCGGACCCCAGAGGTCCGACCCCGAGGCTCCGAGATTCATTTGGGCTGTGTCTAGAAAACTTTCCTAAAAGATACCCTCTTTTATTAGTATATTTTATAAGGATATTTGGGCAACATAA